TCCAATTGGTTTCTCTTAGCTTAGTTTGTTCCTGTGTCAGCGGGGTATATCTTCCTGTGCTTAGGACTCTCCCCACTGAACCATTCCTGGAATCTTAGCTGGCTATCTCAGAGATCCACTGTAGCTGCTGTTATCTATCTGCCATCTTTTCTTGGTCCAGCTCCTCTTTCTTTTAAACATGTATCTACTGTAAATTCACTACCTATGTCCTTCATTATAATCATCATTTCCTTATAGGAGAAATTAATTCTAATTTAATTTTTTGAATCTCATTCATCTGCTTTGTTACTTCCATTGTTATCATTTCATAGAGTTCAGGTGAGTGGCCTTCAAGTTATTTTGCCTCACTGCCCTGTGGTTTTGTCATGGGCTAGCTGGAAGTCTGAAGTTTCATTTTGCATCCCTGTCTTCTCATTTTCTACTTTAAAAAAACTATCTTATATGTTGATGTTTGCATATTATGGTAGGTAGCTTTTATTGCTAATATTGAGAGTTCCTTAGGAAATAACTACTTTGTGAGATGCCTTCTGGCTTTTGATTCTGTTGATATAACCTACCTCTTCAATTTATTAGAGCTGAGACATTTGCTATGTATTTGGCCTGGCCCCTGGTTCTTTGGTACTAGCCTATTGTGTTGTTTATAATCATCAAGCAATCTTTGTCTTGGCATACAAGGAAGAACAACTCTTTAGAACAACTATGTCACCTTGGCTAAAGTAGTACAATCTGTAATTGACTACCAGACTTTATAGTGACAAAGTATTTTAACTATTAACTTGCCATCTATAACTGTATGAACAAGATTTGCAGTTATATAAAAAAACTAAAACAAACTAGAAAGTTGTATACAGTAAATATGCCTTCAATAGAGCAAATTTACCCTCAGGGGATAACATTTAAATGGGATAAAGAGGAAAAATAAAGAAATAGAAGATCAAAATATTAGAAGCAAGGCTGAAAGGCAAAGGAATATTATTCATGCTTTGGGAAACTAGTGGAAAAAAACAGGAGGAAAAGAAAAGAAAGAAGAGAAAAACAAAAACAAGAACAGAACAAAACTATAACAAAAACTGCAACACTGTTCACACTCAAAAATAGGAATAAACAATCAAGAAAAAGCAATAAATGAAGAAAAATAATGTTCACTTCTGAGAATGTCTTTACTGGCACTGGTAGACAAAGACAGCAGTGCCCAGTTCCATGTTGGTTTATCTCAGGAAGCCTGAAGTACAATTTTGGCTAAGTGGTACATGATCTCTGCAGGGCTGCACTTTCAGTTTCACTGAATTTCAGGCTGATTTCGGTTTCTGTCTTTGATACTGAGACCCAAGTTGTTCTCCCACAACACTCTGGGTGCCTCTTGCTGGCTTAAACTTGGCCCCCTAACTCTGTTTTTTCCCCCACAACTGTGCCTCACCCTGACACTAGTTGGAACTAACTTAAGGATTCTCTGACTCACGTGTTCAGCTGGCCCATTTCTAAAATGGCAGTGAGCAAATCACTGTATCCTAGGGATGTTTGAATTGGATTGGAATCATTCATCAACCACTGCAGCCTGCAGCATCCACTGCTCATCTCTGCTGGTGCATTTTTTCATGAAGGCCTGTCGGGCCACTCATAGTCACCATACTTTTTGTAGGTTTGAGCTGCTTCTCCCACACTGCAACCTGGGATTCAAGGAGAAAACACCATTTGCTCTCCTGTGTTGAGGTCTCTCTCTTTGCTTTTTCCAGGGGTCTAGTTCTCACTACAAATCCTTGCTGGGTCCTCGGAATCTACTTCCATCTTTCTCCTCTTCCCTACATTGCTATAGTCCAGTATCAGAACTCCAAATCTCAGAGAGGTTGATTTGCTGCTGCACACCACTTCACTATCTTCCCATCAAAGTTAATTTTGGAAGATTCAGTCCATGGTTGATAGATAAAATGCAGAAACAGCATAATGAAAGACCTGGGTGGAGGACAACTGTTTACATCGACAGCCAGGAAGCAGCTAATTCTCTTAAATCAAGAATTATATGTTTCTTCTAGTGATCTGACAATTTTATAACATCAATTTACTCTTACAAAATAGAGGAATAAGAAGGTAATTCAAGATACCAATTATGCTAAATGCTAGTTGTGGCATAAAGTGTGTGTGTGTGTGTGTGTGTGTGTGTGTGTGTAAGACTCAGAGTCAGAAATGAAGTTATAAGACTATGGGATCTACTTTTCAGTGCTCTTATAATTAGATTTAAATACATTAGATTTAATATATTCAGGTAAAAAATTGAGATACATAAAGAATTGCTGTGGTACTACTTTAGCAATAAAAATTCCCTCTGTGGATGGAAAGAGCCAAATCTTATTCTGAGCTATGACTTTTATCTAGTAATAATAAAAACCATATGGAAGAGTAAAGAGAATAAACTTCATTGGTTTTGTTAGTTGTTTTCAAAAAAGGGAAAGCAGAATTAGTTACTAAATTGAATTACTCTTTGCCAAGAGTGATCATGGAAAAAAAGAAGTCCATTTATTCCATTTTTACTTCATATGTACAACTCAGATTAGATTTTCTTTATCTGACAGAAAAGGAAGAAAATATTTTTAAGAAAGTAAGTCCAAAATATTTTCTGTGAAGAGCTTTGCATCCCAGAGCTTTGTTACTCTGGATGAATCAAAAGACAGTCTTTAAATTCTCATTCCTTTTTGCTCACTACTTCACTATATATAACATATACAATTTTCACTATATATAATATATACATCACATATAATCCCTTGTATGATGACTGTACTAAATCGCAACAATATATTTCTGTTTGTACTTCTATTCATAGTGCAAATTCACTATGTAAATTTTGTCAAACAGATTTACCAGGAATACTTGCTCAAGTGACATTCAAATTTGTATCCCCAAGGACTTGGCCTTTACAGTTTCTATTCATAGTTTGTCACTTTAGGAAATATTTTTAATGTCATTAGTGCTATCTTAGAAATTGAGCACAACTAAATTATCTTGATGGAAAACAACTATTTTTGATATTTTAATGAATATCTAAAATAATAGTTTGATATTACCCAAGTATCATGTTTGTTCCTGAATATTCAAAATTACTTCTTTTGATTTTCATATTCTTAGCATGAAAGATTAATGGCTTCCTGAGGGTATAGACAAACAAATTAAAGATTGAAAGATAATGTCTACTCCTTTTTCTACTTCCAGTGTTATAGTCCTTACTGAAAAAGCCCCATTATATATTTATAATGGCTCTGAGATCTAATCTAACCTTTTCAAAGTTCAGAATTTTTTACCTTTGTATCAATAACAGGTTAGTAAGAGGTAGCTATTGAGAGATATATTTAATTTTCTTAAAAGGTCACAAAATATTCTGTTTGATGAACTAAGAGATTAATAGTAATCATTGGTTTATTGTATGATCATTTTTTCATGCATAAATCTTATAATCTGAACAACTACTTTGAAGATAACAATATGTAAAATATTAACTTGTGCTAATTTCCTATTATTTTGTTTTGAAATTCTATTGTTTTTGTTCTTTTTTTGCTTTAAAATTCAATTAAAATTAATATGCAAAATCAGGTTAGTAGCATGAAAATCTGGAGATTTTATAACAACAAAACAAAAGTTTACAGTATGAGATAAATAACAAGACCATTTATATTTATTCTGCTGACTCAAATAGAGATTACTTTTTCAGAAATTATGTATTTAAGATACAGAAACCATATTTGCTGATCATAATAAACAGTTAAGTGTATAATGAAAGAAAGTTTGGATAGGTGTTGAGATTTGAAAGGACTGTTGGTGACTAAAGACATGTCAGAAGACTAGCATATTAATGCTACCAGATGTTATATTGCCACTGAGATTTACAAACATGAAAGTGTTTCTAATATCAACATTCTAAGGTACTATAAAATGTTTTAAGGTGTTCTTCCTGGAGTCATAGGCTTTATGGTGTGGTTTACATGTTCATATAGTTAAAAGATGTGAGTATGCAGTTTGTCTGTTTTTTAAAAAGAATAAAAACATCAAGAATAAACACTTTCTTCTTTTCATTCTTGTTATATGTGTTTAAGGTCATTTAACATGAATTCTCTGCTATTAACACATTTTTAAAATGCGCAAAACAGTATTGTTAACTATGGTCACAAAGATATATAGCAGATCTCTATAAACTATCTTACATAACTGAAACTTTGTAGAAAAAATTATTAGGCAGAACAGTATAGTAAATTAAGTACGTGAGTTTTGGTAGTAGAGTGCCTGTTTGAGACTTTGTTCTTAAACTTGCTAGCTGTCTAACATTGGGAAAGTCAGTAACCTTTCTTTGCCTAAGTTTTCACTAAAACACTGGACAAGTCACTAACCTCTTTGCACCTCACTAAAATAGAGATAATAATGATACATACTTTAGAGGACAGTTGTAAGCATCAAATGCATTGGTACAGGTAAAGTATTTAAAACAGTATAGTGCATTGTGTCATTTAACGATATAATTTCCAATGACAAGGAATTGTTAATTCACAAAGATCATTCCATTTTGGGAGTAAATACTAAAACATATGGAGAAATTTGGAAAATAAGTATTAAGCAGTATGGTATGGAGTATAAATACACAAGGCATGAAAGAATTGCAATTATGCAGCTCCTGTTTATCTCCAGATCTCATCTGAAAGCATCCATGCAAAAGGATATGTGAAGATGACTGAGAATTACTTACTAATTGTATCCTTTGTAAAATTTATTTGAGCAGGAAAAACTTGATCTTAGATCCATGTTTTATAGTAAAAAAGCATAAATATTCTTCACCTTTTGGTGAATGGTCAAACAGCTTTATAATCTAGCTCATATTTGTGGATTGAGCTTTTAACTCTTAATATATCTAATAATAGAATGCATAAAGAAGATAGATTCATAGCCATACATAGTCAATTAAATATTTGTAAATTATTAAAGGAAAATTTCATTTTATTACAATGATTTGAAAAAATACTTGGGGAACTATTTGCATTGGTTTGCATAGGAGATTGGCTTAAACTATTCTTTACATATATCTTTTCCCTTTTGTGGTAAGGAAGTCTTTTTCTTGGGTATGTAAGTCATGCTGGACAAAGAATACTTTCTAATTGTAGACAGTCTTCTCCTAAAGTTCCCTCCTGAAAAGAAATATAGGAGAGGGTCAAAGCAACAATTTGATGCAGCCAGAGACAAAGTTATGACCACTGACTTCTGCATTCTCAAGATGGAATCACAGGGTTTAGTTTTGTTGTGTAAAAAATGAAGGTGGATGGTGCGTTGAATATGATATGGCATGAAACTGACTAAAAATGCAGCTGTCACAACTATGATCATTCCTATAGCCCTTTTACGACTTGACAGATTTTTCTTCATTGAACTTTTTAGTAAAGTAAAAATGATCATTGTATAACAAACAATTATAGTGATGAAAGGGATGATGAAGCCAATGAATAATGACACATAATGTAAAATCAAAACATAATTTTTAGCTTGATTGTCCTGTGGAGGCTCAAAGCACTTTGTATTATTTTTCTCATCCTTGTAAGTATTGGCCATCAAAAATGGAGAGCTGGTCAAAATTACAAACATCCAAATGGCAATACAAACCAACCTGGCTTTTTTCTGTGTAACTAAACTAATGTTTTGAACTGGGAAAACAATTGCAACACATCGGAAAAAGCTCATGGCTGTCATGAAGAAGATGCTACAATAGAGATTAACATACAAGGCATAGGTGCTGAGACGGCACAGGAAGTCACCAAAGAGCCAAATGCCTTTGTGAACATAATAGGCCACACGGAGAGGCAGTGTGCACACACACAATAGATCAGCCACAGCTAAATTAATCATATATACTTGGAAGGCTGATTTCTCATGGTATGTTTTTACAAGAACATAGAGCACAAAGCCATTGCCAAAGAAACCCACAACAGAGATCATAGAATACAAGGTAGAATAAACTTGATTGCGGAAGTCATCAATACTGTCATAGCACGTGTTATTACTGGCAGGAGGTATTGTCGGATTTCCAGTTTCATCCATATTTCTCTAGGAATGTCTGCGTGGTACCTAAAATATATAAAACATCTTGTAAATTTTTAGTACATCTTAAATTATGAAGTAGTGTTTGTTTACAATAGGTAATAGTTACATTTGCATTGGTAATTGATACATGTGTGTAACATATCTTGATCATTTTTTATCTTTTTACCCCTTCTCCTTATTTTCCTCTCCCCTTTGTTTCCTCCTCCATCTCTAAAGTCTGCTATTTTATTTTATTTATTTATTTATATTTTAGGTTTTCCATGTAAGAGAAATTATGTGACAATTAATTTTCTGTGTCTAGCTTAATCTACTTAACATTATGGTCTCAAGTTTCATCCATTTTCTTGCAAATAGTGTGATTCTATTCTTCTTTATGGCTGAATAATATTTCGTTCAGTACATTTACAACTTTTCTTTATACATTCATCTGCTGACGGGCATTCAGGCTATGTTTAGAAGTTAACTGTTGTGGATTGTGCCTGGATAAGTACGTGTATGCATGTATCACTAACTGTATAGTATGATGTTTTAAACTCTTCTGGGAATATACCCAGGAGAGGTATAGTTGGGTCAAATGGAATTTCTATGTTTAGTTTTATTGAGGAATCTCCATACTGATTTCCATAGTGGTTGTACTAGTTTACATTCCTATCAGCAATGTAGAAGGGTTATTTTCTCACTGCAACCTTGTTATTATTATTGTTCTTGACAGCAGTCTTTCTTAGTGGGATTAGATGGAAAGTTAGAATTGTTTAGATTTACATTTTTGTAATGGCTAAAATGATGAAAATTATTTAATTCACTTACTTGCCATTTGTAGTCTTTTGAGAAATAACTATTCAGTTCATTTGCCCATTTTTGACTGGGTTATATGTTTTGGTACAGTTAATTTTTTTTTGAATTTTTAGTATATTCTAGAGATTAGTTGCCTATCAGAAGACTAACTGGCAACACTTTCCCATCCTGCAGGTTGTCTCTTCATTCTGCTAATTGTTTCTTTTGATCTGCAGAAGCTTTTTAATTTGATGTAATCTCATTTGTTGATTGTTTGTATTATTTTCTGTTGTATGGGAGTTGCTTGAAGAAGCCTTTGTCTGTGCCTATGATTTTAAGTGCTTTCCTTGTCTTATCTTCCAGCAATTTCAAAGTGTCAATTTTCATATCTATGTCTTATGTATACCTTTTTGATGAATAATCAGGACTTATAAGGTGAAGAGAGATTCAGAAGTATTTTGCTGCCAGGGAAGGATTTGAATCCTACAGGCATCTTGAAACACTTCCATATGTGTCTGATGGGCTTCCTCCTAAACACTAAGACCTGGGTAAACTACATTTCCATATTTTAATTCATAATACTTTTATAGTATTCCATATATTTTTGTTTTAAATAGATTTATGATTGTTTTCAATTAGAGAAAATTTTAAAGATAGTTTTACATACTTCTGTCTATCCATTTCTATTGCAAGAGCTTTGAATTCTGTTATAGGATGAAATATAAAGGAAAATACTTTATTTCTTCATGAAGAGTGCTTCCTAGGTTACATAGACAGTACTAGGTAAAAATAATCTAATTTATAATTAGTGAAATTCACTTCTTTTTTTTTTAAATTTTATTTAAGAGGAAAAAGAGAAAAACACAAAACAAAGCAGTGTAAGTGTACACGTAATACAGAACTACAAAAAAAAAAAAAACCCATAATAGTAAGAAATCACCTGCTAATAGATTACATATTATCATCTTGGAAATAGTTGCTCAAATCACAGTATCAAAGAATACAAAGTGGACATTCAAACAGAGAGACTGCAAACAGCTGTGTTCAATGATACAAAAACATTAATATAGTCAGCCATTTAACACCCCTAAACACACTTGCTGTTATATCCGTTAGAGCTCTTTTTTTTTCCCCTCTCTTTTTCACAACAAAAGTGAAATTCACTTCTGTGGTAGAAAGATTCTTAGACCAGGTCGGTTAGCTCTATTGAGAGCCACAGAACATCACATCTGGAGAAACATTATAGGTCATTTAGTTATTTTAGGGGTGACATACATTTAAATAATTTGTATCATAACTTAAGACTCTGAGGAAAGATGTGGTATAACTAGTGCAAATATGCTTGTTGGGTAAGAAAATTTTTGTAGCTGTTCATCTTTGTTCTCTTCCTAGGTGTATTCTAAAACTCTTAATATTTTGCCATATACAATAATTTCACTTATAGCAAGAAGTTGTAACTTGGTCTACCTAAATTCATTAGGGCAGTTAATAAAGATCTAGAATGAGATAGCATAGAATTAGTAATTTCTTCAGTGTTTTCTAGACTGTTCTTTTATTTTTTATGAAAGTGGAAGCAAGTCATCAGTGTATAATATAGTAAATAATCTTTGATTGGGGGCTTATTTGTTGTTATTTTACACAATTCTTATTCTGTGGTCCAAAATTATTGTGGACTCCCAATCCCGGCTGCGCTTGGAGAACTGTGGAGCTTTCAACAAGTAGGCGGGCACATGCTATCCCGGGAGCCCAGCCTATTTGGGACTTCTGCACTTCACCATCAGTGTGCAGAGGAGGGGCTGGGCGAATCAGGGGTGCCTGCAGCCGCCTCCCCGTGTGTCTGGAGGACTGTGGATATCTCAGCAACCAGGGGAGCATCGCAGGTTCCAGAGGCCCCGCAGCCTGTGGTAAGTGCTCAGTGTACTCTGCCCAAAGCCCAGACTGTTCAGGGCCCTCCAGGCTTCCGGGTGAAGTGAAGTGGATAAGTGGGTTTGAGGCATCTACATCCACCTCCACATCCCGGCTGCACTTGGAGAACTGTGGAGCTTCCAACAAGCAGGTGGGCGCACAGTGTCCCTGAAGCCCAGCTTATCTGGAACTACGGAGTTCTAAACAGGCAGAAGAGGGCCATTGGTTCTACAGTCCCAGTGGCTTTGGGGTAACGGGCTTCCAGAGTCTCAGGAGCTGCGAACATAGAAGGGGATTTCCAACAGACCCTGAGGAAGCTTTCAAATAACACTTGAAACACAGAAATATAGGAAAATGACAAAACAAAAGACCAAATTACAACCTCAAACCTCCAGCCCATCTCAAGAAACCCTAGGAGCAATGTATATAGAAGAAAATATATGCCATTCACCTCAAATATCAGACACAACAGCTACTGCAATTAACAAGCAACTCCAGGAAGCTTTAAAGGAATTCAAACTCGAAATAATCTCCCAGGTAAAAGAAGAAATGATAAAAGAAATGAAAGAGATTCTGAATATATCTAAAGAAAACACAGTTAAAAAATTGGAGGAACTAAACAAAAAGATAGAATCCCTAGATGAGCAATATAAGAAACAAACAGAATACATAATGCAGATGCACAGAGATATACAGGAAATAAAAAACTCCACTGAAAGTTGTAAAAGCCACCTCAATGAAAATGAAGATAGAATTTCAAACCTTGAAGACAGGATTGCAGCTAGTGAACAGGAAAGGAAAGATCTTTTAAAAATAACAAGGAATCAGGAAATAACAATTCAACAACTGCAAGACGATGCAAAGAAAAATAACATCAGAATGATAGGGATTAACAAAAAAGGAAGAGACAACATAAAGTATGTCAAGAGGATATTTAGAGAAGTAATAGCTGAAAATTTCCCAAGCATGAGATCAGAAACTGACATCAGGATCAGTGAAGCATATAGAACTTCAAATAGTCATAACCAAAATAAAACTAACCCAGACATATAATAATCACCATCCCAGAAATCAAACACAAGAATAGATTAGTAAAAGCTGTCAGAGAGAAAAGACAGATCACTTATAAAGGAAAACCTATCAGAATCACAGCAGACTTCTCAGCACAAACAATAAAGTCAAGAAGAGCATGGAATGAAGTATTCCAGATCCTAAAGCAAAATGATTTCCCACCTAGACTGATGTATCCTGAAAAACTATCATTCAAAATTGATGGTGAGAGGTCTGCAGAGGAGGAGCTGGGCAGATCTGGGGTGCCCTCACTGGCCTCTCTGCGTGTCTGGAGGACTCTGGATTTCTGCGCCCAGACTGCTGGAGTTCCCTCAGGCTTCCAGGTGCAGTGAAGGAGAGAGGTGGGTTTGAGGCTTCCACATCAGCCTCCCCATTCCCGGCTTCATTTGGAGACCTGCTGAGCTCCCGATAGGTGGGCTGGCCCACACTACCAGCCTAGCCCAGCCTGTTTAGCTGCGGCGCCTGGCAATAGGTCTGCAGAGGAGGAGCTGGGCAGATCTGGGGTGCCCTCACTGGCCTCTCTGCGTGTCTGGAGGACTCTGGATATCTGCGCCCAGTCTGCTGGAGTTCCCTCAGGCTTCCAGGTGCAGTGAAGGGGAGAGGTGGGTTTGAGGCTTCCACATCAGCCTCCCCATTCCCGGCTTCATTTGGAGACCTGCTGAGCTCCCGATAGGTGGGCTGGCCCACACTACCAGCCTAGCCCAGCCTGTTTAGCTGCTGCACCTGGCCATAGGTCTGCAGAGGAGGAGCTGGGCAGATCTGGGGTGCCCTCACCGGCCTCTCTGCGTGTCTGGAGGACTGTGGATATCTCTGCAACCAGGGAGGGTCCACAGGTTCCTGAAGCACTGCGGCCTGTGGTGAGTACCCTAACCCGGCTGCGATTGAAGAACTGTGGAGCTTCCAAGGGGCAGGTGGGCACACAGTGTCCCTGAGGCCCAGCTTGTCTGGAACTGCGGAGTTCTGAGCAGGCAGAGGAGGGCCACTGGTTCTGTAGGCCTAATGGCTTGGAGTAGCGCGGCACCAGAGTCCCAGTAGCTCCAAACATAGAAGGGGATTTTCAACAGATCCTGAGGAAGCTTTCAAATAACACTTGAAACACAGAAATATAGGAAAATGACAAAACGAAAGACCAAATTACAACCTCAAACCTCCAGCCCATCTCAAGAAACCCTAGGAGCGATGTATATAGAAGAAAATATATCCCATCCACCTCATATATCGGACACAATAGCCACTGAAATTGACAAGCAACTCCAGGAAGCTTTAAAGAAATT